AATTGACCTAATTCCAACAGGCTCAATTGAATGTTACACAGATGGATCAAAATCCAACTTCACTGGAGCTGGAGCTATTATAAGGACCAAGGGATCTGAAGAAGATTTCATTAGATTTCATCTATACCTTGGTAAATTTAACAACTGTTTTCCAAGCCGAGGTTCTGGCGATCAATATGGTCGCCAGGGAGCTCTTAGCTAAAAATACAGTTGATAAGTATATATATATTCTCTCTGACAGCCAATCAGCCATCCTTGCCCTGGCTAATCGTGTCAAGTTACAAAACTGTGTTTTGAACTGTACTCAAGATCTCAATTCTCTGGCTCAGGCCCATAATACCATTAGTTTAGTCTGGGTCCCAGGTCATTGTGATTTTGCTGGAAATGAACTAGCTGATAAAGTAGCTAAAGATGCTTCGCAACTACCCATGTTTGGCCCAGAACCATTTTACCCAGTTTCATATCAAACGGTTAAAAAAGAAGTAAGCTGGATAAAGAACAAACATGATGATATATGGTCTAAACTTCCAGACTGTGCTCATTCTAAATTGGTGCTCAGTACACTTAACTTTTCAGGTAAATGAACTGGAATTTACCTGTTAATTACGTCGCGACGCGCAATGAACTGGAAGTTGATCTGTCAGCACTATCATTATCTTCAGGGGCAGATGTTTTTATTTTATTCGGCTTATAATTCCTTATTAAATGTAGTATTTCATCTCGATGTACTCCGTCTTTGATATGATTTAAATCAAATTCCTCGTCATTATAAATATCACAAATACAAATCAAATAGTTTGCTGGTTGCAATTTTCTAATTTCGGCTATGCGTAATGTATGCTTTACGCATGCGCGCGTTGAAAGAAATGTTTAATAAAGTAAACAAATAAATATTAAGCTTCTTTTTTTGTAAATTTTGATACCCTTTAGATCATAATTGCTCATTATTTTATAAATTACAGTTTCATATCTTTAATTTTATAATTTCTGCATGCCATCGTACCAGATTTAAACTGATGATCTATAATCCGGAATCGCCGAAGTCCCGACGAGTCCGGATTAAAGACTTTTGACTGTATTAGCTTCTTTTAATCAAAGAATGTATTGGCAACTATTCTGATTTTCAAATATTAACAAAACTAATATGTAAAGAAGGATTTGGAGGTATTAAATATTAGCCTGCCTAGGAAAAACATTCTTGAATATTTGCTCACATATATATATATATATATACAGTGATGGCCAAAATTGTGGACACTTTTGGAAATTTTTGTTTTTGAACTTTGTATGCTTATAGAAAATGTTACGTTTCGCAAAATGCAAACTTGTATATATCATTTTAAAGAGAATTTATTACTGAATTCAATACAAAACACAAAATTCAATTATTTGCAATACAAAAAAGTTATATGTACTTTAATATAAATAAAAAACACAGATATAAAGTGGTTTGTAATGTCTAGCTTTCCTGGTCAATCACTGTTCTTGTTCTGAGAACCAATCAAATGTTAGTAACTGCCAGTAGAAGCTGACATCATGTTTACACTTGAAACAATTCATTATTTTGCTTTGTTCTGTAGAAGGAGGACCTGTTTCTTATACACTGCAATTACAAGTAGGAATTTTTGTAAAAATTTTTAATATTTAGTCAAGAAGCAATGACATCAAATAAAAGAGTAGATTGGACACCTAGAAAGAGATGTAATATTATTGTGTTAAATTGCAAGACAAGTGGGTGGTTCAGTGACTACATCTGGAGTCCGAAAGTTTTGTTTACAATATCAGGAGACAAATGGAGACAAATTCAATGAAAAACAAAGAAGGAAAAGGCCGAAAAAGGTGCACCACATCTATTGATGACAGAAGAATAAAAAGACTATGTCTCCAAGATAGAAAACTGTCATCGGCGGCCATCAGAAGTGATCTGAATGATGCTGGTGTTTCTGTCAGTTCAAGAACAATCAGGAGAAGATTAACAGATGTTGGACTGAGAGGTAGAATTCCACGAAAAAAGCCTTATCATAATTTTCAGCAACGAAAAAAAAAAAAAAAAAAGACTACAGTGGGCAAAAGAACACATTAATTGGACAGATGATCAGTGGTCACAAGTTATATGGAGTGACGAAACTAAGATATCGTTATTCGGTAGTGATGGGCGAAAATATGTGAGAGGTAAAATAGGAGAAGAGCTACATCCTGACTGCATTCAAGCAACTGTGAAGAACCCAGCTAGTGTTATGATTTGGTCATGCATGTCAGCTGATGGTATTGGTCGTCTTCATGTCATCGATGGGACACTGAATGCCAGAAAATACATTGACACTATTCTAGAAACAAAACTTCTACCTTCCATCAGAGATCTCTTTCCCAACAATGCTTCGTTTATTTTTCAGCAGGATTCTGCTCCTTGCCACACGGCCAAAATATCAAAAGAGTGGTTTCGTACAAAGAGCATTAACTTGTTGTCATGGCCAGGAAACAGTCCTGACCTCAATCCTATCGAAAATTTGTGGCACCGTTTGAAAACTCTTGTCCGAATGCGGCGCCCATCAAATAAAAGGGACCTAATTGTGTCTATAATTGTTTCCTGGCATCATGTAATAACGAAAGAAGAGCTTAAAACTCTTGTCAGCTCAATGAAATGTCGATGTGAAGTTGTAATAAAAAATAAAGGGTACCCTACTAAGTACTGATAACTCACTGCAATCATCACTAACTAGTGTATATCAATAACTATTATTGTTTAACTTTTTTTGTATTGCAAATAATTGAATTCAGTAATAAATTCTCTTTAAAATGATATATACAAGTTTGCATTTTGTGAAACATAACGTTTTCTATAAGCATACAAAGTTCAAAAACATAAAAATTTCCAAAAGTGTCCACAATTTTGGGCACCACTGTATATGAATAAATGCAAAGTAGGTCAAAGCTAATTCAGTTGTGCACTGATAGCAGCAAGTGATGATGGTAATGCAAAAAAAAATTGAGATAAATTAATACGTTTAAAATCCAAAGAAATTAGTAATTTACATCTTTTATTGCATTGTCATCGGGATTGGTGCAAGGAAATTTCGTTATTTAGCAAGCACTATGCGTAACACCATATGTTATGCTAATGGGTAACAAATGTTATGCTAATGAGCAAATCAATTTAACATATTTTCTATTCAAAACAACTGTTGTTCTAATGTTACAAATTTAAGAACTATTTTTATTTTTTCCCTTTCATTGTATGTTTTTTTGGTATCCAATTTTCATTTGTTATTATTTTTTCATGCATTGGATTGCGTGTGTTTATATATTTTGTTTTTTGGGACTTGGTCTGTTAAAAAAAAAAAGAAAAATTTAGATTTTGTAAGCTTTTTTATGTATTAATGCTATAATTTTGCAATTTTTTGCATTACTTTCTTCAACCTGTAGGGGTTGGTCTAAGACACAGATTACTGTGATTACTTTTCTGAGATTACAGGTATTTACTTCTTTTGTTGCACCAATTCCCTGATGACAATACAACAAAAGATGTAAATCCTTTTTCATTTTTGGTTTATCCTTTTTTTATCATGTATTTCCTTTTTCATTTTTGGTTTTAACACTTTTTTCACCTTTAATGCAATTTTCTATTTTGCCTGTTCCCCACCCTCCATGTGGTTTGTTCCAAAGTGAATCTGAGTTGGATTTTAAACTTATTAATTCAATTTATTTTGCATTATATATGCATATATGTATACACACACTGACATGTATGTATGAATTTTTTTTATAATTACATACATACTAGTCCACATAAGTCTTTTATCTTGCTTTTATTTCCACATACCAATGGTTAGGGATAATATAGTGTATATATATATATATACACTATATTATCTATGTGTATTTGTGTGTGTGTGTATTATACACACACATAAATAAACATGGATGGAATTTTAAAGTAATTTTTTTCTGTACATACAGTTCACTTGTTCATACAAATCATTACGTGGCTTTTAGTTCCACAGACATTTGTCATAGACATATGCTAACAAAAATGTTTTAAATGATGCAAATATTTCAAGTTTTGACATTCTTTAATTTAAAAAATCAATTTGCAAAAATTATGAAATCTAACCTTTGAAATGCCCTTTGTTTGATCCCTATATTATATTTTATGCTCATGACAAAAACTAAAATACAAAAAATTTGACTTCCTTATGACAAAAGTTGACAGATATTTAATTTTAAATTTTAGAATATTTAGGGGAGAAAAGTGAAAATGATTGCATTTGAATTAACTAAAATTTGAACATCAATTCAAAAATGCTTCTTATGTTAATAGATTAAGTGACAAGCATTGCTATGCAGTGAAATATATTGATCAATAGAATTTTTTTTTCAAATATAACTTTGTTCTAAGAAACAATGGCAAACTTTATATTGAAAAAATATTTCTGTTTAATGATTATTAGATTAGGATATTCTAAAGTAATAAAACTGCATGAGAATATTAATAATGTTTTTCAGCATTTGAGAAATTACTTTTGTTGAATTTCTTTTGGTGTATTGTATGTAACAATAATATAAATTGAATAATGTATTTCTAGCATTTGGAAGCTTGGAAATTATTTGTATGAAAATTATTTCAGCACCATATGTAACAATATTATAAATTACAGAATGTCACCCACACGCTAAAGAATATCATAAAAGGTAGATTTCAAAATGGGAAAAAAAAAAAAAAAAAAAAAAAAAATCGAGATTATTCTAATTTATTTTTTAACTGACTCATCAAAACATGCTGACTATGAGGACAAAACTTAAATTAATTATCTCGGTGAATTTTTATTTTTTATTATAAAAACTTAGCTTTTTAAATAAATCTGCAGAAAAAGAAAAAAGTTTGTTTTTGTTTGAAATGGATACATTCTTTGACGTTTATCATTATAAAAATGTATTAACTATCTGTTAAAATTATTCTGTATTAGTTGTTAATATTTAAATTTTGATTATATGTTTTCCAGGTAAATTTTAAGAAAATGCTAGAGCTTCAGTGTGAGAGTATGAATGATTATAAAGAAATTTTAAGTAAAATAGCATCAGAATTATCTGATGATGTAATACATAAATTGTTATGGGCACGGAAAGCAGCTCCTGAAACTCTGCATGATATGAGAACAGAAATATTGAGGAAAATTTTTCTTTCAGAAAATATCCAAATACAAGAAGAAATTTCCACAAATGTGGAAAACTAATGTTTTGATGAGCATATGTCACATAAAACATATTTACATATTTTTAAAATAAACTTTTTAGAATAAATGTAAATATTTATTTAATCAATATATATATCCATGTGATAATTCATATCAGTTGCCTTATTGATATTGCTGACTATTTTGATATTTGATATATATGTATACATATGTAATATTAAAGTCAAAGTTTTGAATGCATGAGTATTAGTACAATTTTTCATTTACCCCTATTTTATTTTCATATATGGTTGGAATATATATTCATTTTAGAGCAAGTTCTCAGAAATCTTAACCAATTTACAAAATTTTACTACATGTAACAATGTAATTTTTTTCCAATTTTATTAGTTCATGTTGAGTAAATTCTAGTGGTTAATTTTTAACATTTTTGCCATTATTATGTGCATTCATAAAATATTATACAAGCTGAAAATTCTCTCAGTTAATTATTTTTTATGGATCAAGTGTCACTTGATTTGCTACTAAATATAAAAATAAAAGCTGAATTTAAATTTCATTAGATAAATTATTATACTATCTTGTGTTAATGCTATTGTGACAGATTATTATGATTAGCATGTATTACAGTCTGTAAGTTAGTGGATATTTGTTATTTTTTTTTAAATAATCAATAAAGTAATAAAATTCTTGTAAAATTAGTAGTAGACAATATTGTATGTTTTTTATAATTTATTTATTTCTATCGTGCAAAGAATGTAATGTACAGGAGCATCTATCAACACATAGCATTTAGTCATTCTTACTTCTTTGAAATTAAAGAATATCCTTTGAATGGAGATGTATAGTAAAAAAAAAAAAAAAAAAAGGTTCATATTTAATTTGCATGTCTAAAGAAATTTTTAAAATCCATGTTTTTAAACCCATACATCCTCTGTGAAATAATTTGTAAATTACCGGTGTTTTGCAACTTTAACCACTTGAATACTAACAGGTCAATAGAATCTCATGTTATAGATGATGAGAGTTTTCATAGAGTATGAAGTGACTTGTTTAGAAGTATATAGTTCATGGATTCTGTTCGTGGCAATTGAATGAGCTGGTTTTATGGCTTTTTCATGTTTATCCCATAATGTGGGTCAGTATTTCCCTTAGAAAGTTCATGAAATGTATTCCTCCCTTTAGCAGATAGCTTTTTGAGCATTTTGTGGCAATTAAACAATTGGTCAAAAAAAAAAAAAAAAATCCTAACTCGTGGTCTAATATTACACAGCATTTTAGTTTCTCTCATCACCTTGAATTTACAATTAGTGTGTTTATACAGTAATAGGATGTCGTGTTAATTTCTATGTACGATCCTTTATACATATTGTTAGGAAATTTGATCTACCTTAAATAGTCAGTTGATGTCTCTGACAAGACTTCCAGCATTTCTCTCTATTCCTCTGGTGTCCAAAAGTACTAAAAGATGCATTCCATAATTTTAATCCGATATGAACTGTAATACAAAATTCATGTTCTAGAAGCATAATATTATAAATATGTTAGGATAAAGTACATATTTTATTAATAATCAATTTTGGGAGGAGACAAGAGTCATCCTTTCAGAAGTTAAATAAGTGCCTTATAAATAATTTCAAGATCAATAATAAATAATTTCACAAGGTCTTTCAAAAATTATTGAAAGAACATAAAAAGCTACAAAAAAGAAAATTTAGTTCTTAACCAACAAAACTGACAGTAATTTCACAAGCAAGCATTTCCTCTCTGGTTTGCTGCTTACATAATTCATGGAAAGTAGTCCTGATCCTCTTGCTTGATGATCATTCTCACAGTTGTACAAGATGCACTGCACTATTGAGTTCGTGTTCCTACAGTTTTAAAGAATCAAATAATTCAAAAAAAAAAAAAAAAAAAAAAAAAAAAAAAAAAGGACTCAGAATTAAAGGCCATAATGTACCTAAGTAAAATAACTATTACCATGTTAATTCAAATTATGAAGAATGCAGTGCAAGAAAAATTAGTCATGAACTGTTTCAAGCAAAATATTCTAAGTAAGTTGACAACAGTTATTCCTCCAACAATTAATTTAGCATTATTATTTGTTATATATTTAGAGATGTTGTTTCTGAACAAATATGTTCAATTGTGCTAAATATTTATGGTATAGGACAGGAACCTTTTTATTTGTTGATTGAAATATTACATCTTTATCTTTGAAATTATTCATTTGGTTGTATATATGAAGCTGCTAACTATTATAACCAGTATAGTGATTCCCGAAATAAAATTATTGATTTTGTTGAGCGGTATATGACATTATGTTGAAGCTTCAATTTTCTGATAACAGAGAAAATGAAATGCATTTTGCTTTCTGATTCCTTTTTTGGTTTACACCAGAATTTAGCAACTTACTGTGAAGGCATCATCCAAAAGAATAAATATGTGAATGAAATTGTTCAAAAACATCTAAGGCAAAAAGAAATGATTAAATACAATTGGCAAGACAATTGTATTTAATTAATCCAATGCAGCAACAATTGTATTTAGTTATTTTAATGCTGCCATGTGTAGTTTTCTAAATCTGATGATACTCTTATCAATGATACAAGATTCAGAAGAGTGTTATATAAAAGCACAATAGGAAGCAAATGTTTTACTTTAAAATCTTCTAAGGTTTGAAAAATACTGACAGTATTTACTTACATGCTTATATTTGAAATTATACATAATGCATCTAAAAAATGTGTAATCGCTTTGAATTAGAAAATTTATTTTCCAACCTAAAGGATTAAATTTCTGAGAAAAGTAAGCCTGTAGTCCCGTTTGAAAAATAAATGTGCTTTTTGGATCAAAAGGAATGTTCCAAATGGTCGCTTTCAGCATTGACACGCAACAGATTCCGTACTCGCACCAAAGTGTCCAGTGGGATTTCTGCACACACTGCTGTATTCTCATCCCAAAGTGTGTCAAGGTTATGTGGTTTACAGCGGTTCACTTCATAACTTTATCTTTTACTGTGCCTCATAAGATGGAGTGGCCATAAGGTCTGCTGGAGAATATGCAGAAAACTCGATTGGTCCCCTGTATTCTGTCCATCTTGATACAGATCTATGCTCACAGAACCCTCTGATAGTGCAATAGGATGCCATCTTATGGCTGATAAAACCTGTCATTGGCATACACAAATGGAAGGGAAAATGCAGTCAACAAATAATGTTAGGTGCTTTTCTTCAGTTGTAGTGTCTTCAAAACAGAAAATGTCCCTAGGACAAACCACACCACACATTTATAGCCTTTTTTACAGGCAAATTCACACCCTTTTCAACAGTAGTGCGACAATTATCTTCAACCCAGTGCACATAATTATACCTATTGACAGTTCCCTTAAGTTTAAATTGTGCTTCATCCAAACAAACAATGCTATCTATAAATTCTGGTTCACATGTAACCTTCTCCTGATGTTTTCAGAAATGCAATGCATGAGTATTTATTATTGAAATATATACTGTGTTATTGCAGTTGCTCCCAATAAATGGAATTGTGTTATTAATATTGTTATGAAATGTCCAGGCGCAGTAGGATAGCTTCCCCGCAAAGCAGGTTTAGGGTAGCCATAAAATGGCAAGATAAAGGAGGTTTACCACATTTGGTGAGAAAATTGTTGATATGCCATAGACGGATGGAGAACCTTCTGGAACGAATTCTTATCGTTTTAGCCCAGAATGTTCTCAAACACAAGCCAAAAGCTATATAAACCCTGCTGGTATACGCGGAGAGTTAGTGTCGAGTCAGTTCGTGCGGAGTCGATTGAGTTGATGTTATTATCCATTGAAAAGGAATTATTAGATGGATTGGATGTTGAAGCAACTACAGACAGATTTGCAGACATCTAATGAATACAAACAATTGCTCTTGATATAGTAGACTGCATGAAATATGATTCTAAACTGCCCATTAATGTATAGTACATTTAGTACAAGAAAACTATTAAAATATTTGCTATTCATTTAAAATTTGTAAAAATTATTTAAAATATCAATTATAGCGACCTGTATTTATATTTAGCATTGATTACATGCGGCTAGTAACTCGTATATGCCAGACATGGCCAAACTGTGGCTCTCCGACACCTTAACTGCAGCTGTTGAGCTACTTGCGTTCTTTGACATCTGAAAGGCGACTTGTTTTAAAAAAATATGGTTTAATTTTTTAATACTAATGGAATTTGAAATAGAAATCTTACAGTGCCACGTTTCTGTATTAATCGCTAATTTAATTTCTGATATTATGTATGTAAACATTTGATAGATTTCAAACTGTCCACTGCTGGCTTATCCTCAGAGCAACAAATATGTAAAATTACAAATAATTCCATTTCTGGTTATTACTATTCCAGTTATGTTACGTTTTTAACAAGTAATGGTCATCGGAATACATTAATGTGAAGGTAATCTAAAAGGCAATGCTAATATTTTTATTTAATTACTCTCCCTAATATTTTTTCTTTCAAGTTAATTTTACTTCAGACAGTATCTGCTTACATTCCTGTGTGATCCCATTGTTCACAACAATTGTGATCCACCTCGAAGATTTGCTATTCGTTGTAGGATACTACTTTTTATTCAGTCCCTGAATGGCATGAGTAAACTGCTGAAGAAACCTGTTCCGCTTTGCTATCCATATAGAGCTCTTTTAATCTATGGAAGAATTTTATGAGGATTTTATTTTTCGTGGAATGAACCTTCAGCCTCTTACTGGTTTAGGAGACTTGTCTCAATTTTCTGCGGAAGTCCTTCAAAATTCATTTCCTATCCTTAAGCAAGTTAGGCATTTTTATGCAATTGCTTCACAGATTTCACAACCATTCACAATAATATGCTTAATGAACACTTTTTCCACATAGAACTCAATCTTTTGTAATAATTCCTTGGTAATCTTAGGTAGAGATAATAATTTATTTCACCTATGGTTGTGCATGCTGAAATATCGTGGGAAGAATCACTGGTTTGACAATGATTAAATTTTAGTCAAAATGTTTAATTCCCATTCCATCAAATATTGTTATTCCAGATAGAGGTCTTTCACCTTAATGATCAAATCTTCATATCAATAACGTTGCATTAAACAACGAAGGATCAACAGAACACAAATGTCTCTTCTCAAATTCTTCTGTCAAAATCGGCATATTGATATCGGTTAAATCTCTTTAGCTTGTGATATTTTCTCATATTTTTCTATTTGATGTTAGATGACCATCTTTCATTCTACCTTGCACTAGGTTAGAGATATTTTGCTGCCTGGTATATCTAAATTTTTCACCCTTTAGTACTACCTCTCTGCAGCTGCACCGGTTGCCCCGGCTCTGATGCCAACATTTCACTGCTTTTAACGTGCTAATATTTTTTGTCTTCCTAATTTTCGATCATCATGTCCCTCTGACACTTCCTTCTTGGAAACTTAGTAGCCAAACGAAAAAATTTACAATAATCCACTGCTTGATCACTACAAGTTTCAGGCAATAATATGAAATTTTGTTTCTGAAAACATTTCTTTTTAAAGTCTGAGCTTTTATTTTCTAAAGTATATTCTGCCCACAGACTTCATTTGAGATTTATTTTATGTACATAGGTTAGGTAACCCAATGGAAAGTAACTATGTAACCTTAGGCTGATAATAATTTATTTTAAACTTTCTGAGCTATTATACCTAAAAGTTCAACACGAGAAGTCGTTTGATTGCCTTTTATGGGTCCAATAATTTGAATGTGGTGGATCCGTACACCTATTTGGCAACAACTTAGGGTCTAACCTATTGTGCAGACATCTGTCGTGTTACAAAAGGCCTCCACATCGAACATCTGTACAT